CGGACGGGGTGCGGGCCCCGCCGACGGGGTGCGGGCCGGTCTGAGGACTCGCCGGGACAGCCGCAGCCTCGCTGCTGTGAAGGAGGCACGCCCCCACGGGCGGGGCCCACCGAGGCCTTTTCTCAGGTCGGCTCCTGTCCCTCAGCCTGGTCCCACCAAGGCTAGACGGAAACGGAGGCGGGGAGGCGGGGCTGGGCAGCGCGGGGCAGCGGTGTTCTGCCAGGTGATCTTCGTTGACTAGTGCCTGCCCCGAGAGCAGAGAGATGGGCTCAGGTGGGAGCTCATTCTGGATTGGTGGGTGAACCCTTTCAGCTAGCTAGTGTCACTGTTTGCTTACAAAGGTTGTAAATTGAGATCAGTCCAGAACTACTTGTCTCACAAGCTTGTGGGCATGTGTAGCAGCTTCTATTTAACCCTGGATTTATTTAGCACAGTCAGGTGAGTGAGTACATAGGCGTCCCAAGACTGATGATGTAGTTTAGAAACAAGTGGTGCTGGTGGCTCGCCTCTGTCATCCTGGCTACTCAGGAGGCTGAGATCTGAGGACCACAGTTCAAAGCCAGCTGAGGCAGAAAGGTTCCCTTGAGACTTATTTAACCACCGGAAAACCAGATGTGGTGCTGTGGCTCAAGTGGTAGAGCACCAGCCTTGAGCCAAAGAGTTCCCAGACCCTTAGTTCAAAAGTTCAAGCCCCACAACCACCCCCCCAAAAAAAAAGAAGTGGTGCTGTGGCTCACGTGAGATAGCTCTCACCTTGAGCAAAAGAAGCTCAGGGACAGCACCCAGGCCCTGAATTCAAGCTCCAGGTCCAATAACAACAAAAAGGTGTGTGTATAAAACACAAATACTATGAAGTTAAGAAAAGATTCCATGTTTTATAAAGTTGTACAAATTATAAGACAAATGAATAGCTCTTTTTTTCTTTTTGCCCCTTTTGGTCGGTTGTAGGGCTTAAACTCAGGGCCTGGGCACTGTCTCAGCTCTTTTTTCTTAAGGCAAGTGTTCTACCACTTGAGCCACAGCATCACCTCCAGTTTTCTGGCAGTTAAGTGGAGACAAGTCTCTTGCACTTTCCTGCTTGGACTGATTTTGAACCAGGATCCTCAGATCTCAGCCTCCTGAGTAGCTAGGATGACAGGTGTGCACCATCAGCAATCAGCTCCATGTGTTTTTGATAAACCACTTAGGGATGGTCTGATGGCTGGAGCTATATGGCTAACAAGGGTCTAGGACTGGCTACTAGTCTGTCTCCATTCAAAGTCCTGAGTCAAATGGTAACTGCCTTCTGTGCCAGCTTCTAGAGTCTGCATATATCTTAGTGAATCTATCTGCTTGTTAAAAGTGCTACTTGTCATGTTTTTTAATATCCTGAAACCATTTGCTTTGTCTTTGCAGATACCCTGTTCCAGCTGAAGGTATGTATCTAATGACCGGTTTTGCCCCAGTCCTGTCCTGGTGATTAACAAATGAGGACAAATAATACAAAACACTCTCAGAACCCTGGGAACACAGAGTCAGGGGCAGATTATGAAAGTTGGGTGGCTGCTGACAAGGGCAGGGTTATTGATGAATCTGAGTGACATTCTTTTCCTTTGTTTCTGGCTAAGAAAAAGCAGATCCTTTGGGCTTATCCATGAAAGATTGAGTGTATTCTATCTTTAAGAAACACAATTTGGTGGACTGGGAAGGTGGCTTTGTGGTAGAGTGCATGTGTAGCATACATGAAGCTCTGGTTTAATTCCTCAGTACCACATAAACAGAAGCCAGAAGTGGTGCCGTGGCTCCAGTGGTAGAGTGCTAGCCTTGAGCAAAAGATCAGAGACAGTGCCCAGGCCCTGAGTTCAAGGCCTAGGACCAACCAAAAAAAAAAAAAAGAAACACAGTTTGGGTATTATGTGAATGCCTTGATGTTCTGCTAAGTGTTTAAAACCGTGGCCTGGAACCCTTTGGCATCCTGTTTGAAGGAGAGTACTGTGGATAGCTTAATATCCCTGCTTCCTGAAAATGCTCCTTTTCCCTTAAATACTCTTAGGTTAAGCTTCTTGTTTATCCTCGGTTCCCTGATGAGCTAGAGAGAGGTCACAGCTATAAAGTGTATCTCTGGGATTGCTCCACGGTGCACGGAAGCTTCGTGAGGCAGTTGGTGTGTGAGCGCTCCCTCAGGAGAGCCGTGGTTGTGGAGGGCCTTTCACCTAAAGGGGACGGTAGTGGATGCTCGAGGAGCGCTCTGAAAGGTGAGCTGCTTGTTGCTGCTTGGAGCCTTATGGTTTCTGCTCAGTTCACAGCAAAACAACTGGAGAAGCTGGCCAAAAAGGCTGAGAAGGACTCCAAGGCCGAGCAAGCCAAAGTAAAGAAGGTGTGTGATTTCTCCATCTCCACTCCTTTCATTTCCCCCCTTGTTTTTATTTTCTGCTTTATTTTCTGTCTTCTTTTTATGCAAGGTACTTACTGCCATCACAGTTGAATGGAGAGTGTCCACATCAGAACTATGAGTGCCTAGTATTTGTTCATTTTCTCTACATGTCAGTTTCTCTTACTCCGTCCTGATACTCTGAGATGGGTTCACCTGAATTATGTAGGACGTGGCTTCCCAGCTGTCTTGGCCTCCTGTCTCACCATGCTCATCTAGTTCTGTCCTGCTGAGCTTGCGTCCTGGGCTCAGCATTAGGCAGAGGCACGGGGTATCCATGGGTGGCAGGTTTAGAGGTTTGCTGGCGCCTCTTCTGGAAGGTGCCCCTGCCTAAAAATGGGCAGTGCGAACAGAAAGAGGGGTGATTGCTCTTGACGTAGACTTTCCACCCAGTCTGGTACAGCTCTTAAAATGGTGTCTCATGGCACCTGAGCCCTGGAGTTATGGATGTTGTTACATTCTCACCCACTCTGGGCAAAGGAACCTGTGGTACAGACCTGGCTGTGGTCTGTGTCATGGGGTGCTCACCTTCCTCACCTGTGCCTCTGGCTCCTTTGGACTCCGTGTGTCACATCTCCTACCACTTGCTCCTGTGCAGTCAGGGCTTGGGAATATCTGCCGTGGGCCAAGCACCACTGTGGGTGGGGGGCCTCCACGGCCTGCTCTGGGTGTGGCAAGCGGGCAGTGCACGTCTGCGAAGGTCATGGATGTTTTCATTGATCACCGGGGGAAACCTGAAAGCCCTGACCCCCATGACAGCAAACTTCCCAGGGAGGTCTGCACCAGGCTTCTAGCAGGCAAGGCTGATGGAGACAAAGCTAGTTCTCCCACAGACATTTCTCCTGTGACTATTTCTTCTTGAATCTTAGGCCCTGCAGCAGAAAAATGTGGAATGTGCTCGAGTGTATGCTGAAAATGCCATCCGCAAGAAGAACGAAAGTGTGAACTGGCTCCGCATGGCGTCCCGTGTGGACGCGGTGGCCTCCAAGGTCCAGACGGCTGTGACCATGAAGGGGGTGAGTGCCATGTGGTGGGAGAGGGCGGGTCCTGGTGGCTGGATGGCAGGCACACCCAGGAGGCTGGGTCAGCATCGGGGAGGGCGGAGTGCAGCAGGACCCAGAAAGCAGCCAAGTGGGCCCGGGTCCTGTAGCACCCACAAGAGGCAGGCCTGTTCTGGCCGGCTCGGGAGCATGCACGTGGGCTTGACTCACAACCAAGAGAGCCCCCACAGTGTTGTTACCTGTCCTTAGAGGCCCACGCACTGGTCTCCCTGGTGCATGCGTGTAGTCAGCAGCAGTTACTGAGACTCTGGACACCCATCAGGGTCCAGAGGCCCTGTCGTCGGTGGGTGACCCTTGCCTGCCTTTAATTCTGTTCCTGTCCCAGGTGACCAAGAACATGGCACAGGTGACCAAAGCTCTAGACAAGGCTCTGAGTGCCATGGATCTACAGAAAGTGTCTGCGGTGATGGACAGGTTCGAGCAGCAGGTGCAGAACCTGGATGTACACACATCGGTATGTGACCAGGGCAGGCAGGCGGGCAGGGCGGCTCCCAGGCTGATCGCTGAGGTTCCTCTGACAACCTCTGGAGAGGATAGGGCACCTGTCCTCTGGGAAGCGCAGAGGTGTGGACAGTGCTCCTTGAAGGTGGGCCGCAGGCAAGGTGAGTGAGTGTGGAGGCTGGAAGGGTACGTGTGGATGGAGAGCAAGTGAAGCGCGCCGCGCCTGGGTGCAGCTGCTCAGAGTGCACCCGCGCCCGAGTGCAGCTGCTCGGGGTGCAGCTGCTCGGGGTGCAGCCGCGCCCGGGTGCGGCTGCTCGGGGTGCAGCCGCGCCTGGATGCAGCTGCTCAGGGTGCATCCACCCACAGGTGATGGAGGACTCCATGAGCTCAGCCACCACGCTGACCACCCCTCAGGAGCAGGTGGACAGCCTCATTGTGCAGATTGCGGAGGAGAACGGCCTGGAGGTCCTGGACCAGCTCAGCCAGCTGCCTGAGGGTGCTGCTGCTGTGGGCGAGAGCTCCGCGCGCAGCCAGGAGGACCAGCTGTCCCGGAGGTAGGGCAGTGGGCTGGGCTCCACTGCTGTGCCCGGGAGTGTGTGGTGCTGGGGGTGTGAGTGGGGAGCCCTGAGGACGGCCTGGCCTGGGCTGGGTCCTGGGAGGCCCTCAGCAGCATAGCCCCAGGGAGAGCAGGAGGACACTGGGCCCAGAACAGCCGCCTCCTGGGCTGCAAGCCCAGGTTTTTAGCCAGGAGCTGGCGTCAGCTGCAGGACCACAAGTTGCTCACTTTGGAAGAAAATCTTTAATTTTCTTAAGAATGGCATTGGGGAGCCAGGTGCTGGTGGCTCATGCCTCTCATCCTAGAGACTCAGGAGGCTGAGATCTGAGGATCACAGTTCAAAGCTAGCCCAGGCAGGAAAGTCCGTGAGACTCTTATCTCCAATAAACCACCAGAAAACTGGAAGTGGCGCTGTGGCTCAAGTGGTAGAGCACTAGCCTTGAGCTAAAGAGCTGAGGGAGAGCGCCCAGGCCTGGAGTTCAAGCCCCAAAACTGACAAAGGATGGCATGGCCAGGTGCCAGCGGCCCATGCCTGCAATCCTAGCTACTAGGCTAAGATCCGAGGATCATGGTTCAAAGCCATCACAGGCAGGAAAGTCCATGAGACTATTATCTCCGGTAAACTACTCACAAAAGCCAGAAGTAGCGCTGTGGCTCAGGTGGTAAAGTACCAGCCTTGAGAAAAGCTCAGGAACAGCGGCCAGGCCAAGGTCAAGCCCCAAGACTGGAGAAGATTAAAAAAAAAGAATGGCATAGTACTCAGCTGTTTGCAGCGCCTTTCACTATGTTACCCCAGGACAGCCTTGAAAAGCTGAGGCTGGGGACGTGATTACAGGGCCTGGGTGAGGAAGAGGCCTTGGTGCCCAGCTGGCATCTCACATAGACACAGTGCTGTGGCAGTTCTTGCCCCTTGCCAGTCTCACCAGAGTCCCATTGATTTCCAGGTTGGCCGCCCTGAGGAATTAGCTGTACCTTCCAGGGGTGGCACTACCCCTGCCTGTGCTGTGCTGGAGACTCCTGCGCCCCTCCCCCAGTGTGCCCGCCTCATCTGACCTGCAGAGTCCTCTGACCTGCAGAGCTGGGCAGCAGCCCGGCCTGGCTCTCCCACATGCCAGGCCGGTTGGTGCCTCAGAACTGATCCTGTTTCTTTTAGGTGTAGGTGGATCTTTGTCCCACTGTTGAGTTTGCACAAAACTGTGTGTGTGGCTTCTGTGACTGTAGCCAGGAGATTGGCAGGCCGCTCTGTCCTCTGCTTGTGTGGAGTTGGCAGGGTCTGGCCAGCAGTGCGTGTGGACATCACAGCTCTGGGGGCCGTCGGTGTCCAGTGACTGGATCTGAGGGTCCGAGACACCCCTGCCTAGCAGCTCTGAGGAGATGACTGTGGACCTGTGTGTGCCAGAGGATGTCCAGTGCCACCAACATGCCGTGGCCCTCCTCTCTGTCCTTGTAGGCCAAGGGTGTTGGCCGTAACCACCAGTGGATGAGCCTGCTCGGGCCTCCTGTCCTTGGCTCCTCTGTCTAGCCCACAGGGACAGAACTGTTGCCCCGTTCCAAGTCCAGACACACCCACACTGGTGTGCTTACCCTTGCTGGCTGCCCCCGGAGGTGTCCTGGGCTGAGCTTGCTCTGTGTCTGCCCTGGCGCTGATGGAGGCTCCTCAGTCAGCCGCCGCCTCTGTGCCTCTCGCTCGGTGGAATGCCCCTGGTCTCTCTCTGGCTTCCCCCTCCTGACTGCGCATGAAGAAGCGTGCTGACAGAGGGCCTGGCCAGGCCTCTGGCTGGCTTGGCACTCCACAGCTGTCTGTGCAGTGGACCCCTGGCTGTGGGTAAGCAGAGGGGCCTGGCACAGCTGCTGTTCGTTTCTTCTGTTTCCTGAACTTTTCTCATGTTCTTGACGATCCCGGTTTTTTATTTTTGTTTTTGTTTTTTTGTTGTTGCCAAAGTAGAAGTGGGCAGGGTGTGGGATGTTGGGTCCAGCACAAGCGGTGAGCAGTGTCGGCACTACCCCGAGACCACAGGCTCACTCAGAAACATGGGGACTTGCCTGGACTCGGACTCGCTACGTTTGGTTCTTTGTGTTCTGGGTTTCGAGGTGTGCTGTGGAGGGAGGTGGGTGACATGCAGGGCCTGGATGTGCGCTCTCAAGGCACAGTCCAGCCCCGCCCCCCCAGGCTCCCTGAGATCCACTCGTGCTAGGAGTCGAGGGGAGCTGCTGCCCGTCGTGGGAAGCCACTGGGCCGTCTGCTGCCCCATCCCAGGGTGCGGGCTCCCTCCGGGGCTAGTGGGCGGAGGTGCATCACAGCCTGGACGTGTGACCTTATTAAAATGCTGTTGAATAAACATGCCTGTAAACCTCGTAGTTGCTGCCGTGGTGTGGCTTGGGGGGCCTAGAGGCATCACCCGGCCTCCCCCAGGAGCCTGAATAGTCTATAGAGGGCAGACAGGAGAGAGGCAGGGGTGCAAGAAATACACCCCCCACCCCCACAGCGAAGTGCATGAGAATTGGGTGCTACACTTTTTTTTCATCTTGAAAAACATTCAACTAACAAAACTTGGAAAGTGTTGAGCTTGTCTAGTGTGCAGTGCTCAAGCTGGCCGCGGAAGCACGGACCAGGGCTCTGCCCCCAGCACCTCAGGGCGTGCAGGGCCGCAGGCCTGCCCTGCTCAGCCCAGCAGCGGCCAGGGCTGCAGAGGATGCCGCTTACAAACTGCCTCCGCCAGCGGTGTGGCTGTCACAACGCGAAGAGCACTCAGTGTGGGCATCAGAGACCACAGCCTGGGTGCCGGCCGGCAGGTGCACACAGCATAAGGCCCTCTCCTTATATATAACATCTGGGGTTTTGCTTTGTGTTGTCATTGGTCGTGGAGCCTGAACTCTGGGCCTGGGCGCTGTCCCTGAGCTCTTCAGCTCAAGGTGAGCGCTCTACCACGAGCCACAGTACCACTTCCAGCTTTTTCTGTGTATGTGGTGCAGAGGAATCGAACCCAGGGCCTCATGCATGCAAGGCAAGCGCTCTACCACTGAGCCACCTTCCCAGCCCCACATCTGTCTTTTGTTTATTTTTGTCTGTCATGAGGCTTGAACTCTGGGCGTGGGCGCTGTCCCTGAGCTCTTCAGCCCAAGGCAAGCACTCTACCACTGAGCCACCTTCCCAGCCCCACATCTGTCTTTTGTTTATTTTTGTCTGTCATGAGGCTTGAACTCTGGGCCTGGGCACTGTCCCTGAGCTCTTCAGCCCAAGGCAAACTCTCGACCACTTGAGCCACAGCGCCACTTCTGTAACATCTATTTTAGAGACTTGGTATGCAGCCCACACTGACCTTGAACCCCACAGTCCACTCCGCAGCCTTCTCATCCTAGGGATTGTGTGAACTGCCATGCCGACTCCAATTAAGCTGTCTCTCTCTCTTTTTTTTTTGTCATACATTAGCTGTAGAAGGCAATTCCATTGTGACATTTCTATGCATGTATACAGCGTATTCCAATTTCCTACCTGGCAACCCCACTCCTTCCTTTAACACAATGGCAGCAGGTTTCCTTGTCCTTTTTTATCCATTGGGACAACCTACTTTGGCCATATTCATTCTCTTTCACCCTCATTAGTTCAACCTCTCACCAATGCCATCTGCCATAACATTCTTGAGCTGTCTTTGACAGTGAGAATTTGGCTGTCATTCATTTCTTCACTTTTTTTTTTTTTTGGTCAGTCTTGGGTCTTGAACTCTGGGCCTGGGCACTGTCCCTCAGTTTTTCAGCTCAGGGCTAGTGCTCCACTACTTGAGCCACAGTGCCACTTCTGGTTTTCTAGTGGTTAATTAGAGATAAAAGAGTCTCATGGCCTTTCCTGTCTGGGCTGGCTTTGAACCATGATCCTCAGATCTCAGTCTCCTGAGTAGCTAGGATTATAGGTGTGAGCCACCAGTGCCCAGCCACTTTTTGTTTTTGTTTTTTTAATCTTTTTAAAAAATTTGTCCTAGTGTTTGAACTCAGGGCCTGGGTGCTGTTCCTGAGCCTCTCTGTTCAAGGATAGCACTTTACCACTTGAGCCACAGTGCCACGTCTGGCTTTCTCTTTTTATGTGGTATGAGGAATTGAGCCGAGGGCTTCGTGCAGGCTAGGCCAGCACTCTACTGGTAAGCCACGTTCCCAGCCTCTTCATTTTTGTTTTTGCTTTTTTTTTTTTTTTCTTATTTGCAGTGCTTCAGATTGGTTCAGCTTGCTATTTTACACAAGTGTTTTAGATTTGCTAATTGCCTCTCCTTACAATATAGAGCAACACAGGTGTAGTCTCACCTGGCTATCTACTGTATAAAAACAGTGCTGGCCTGCTTTTACACTTTGCTGGCATTCCATTGTGGGGCCTCACAACCCAGGCCAGACTGTCCGTGTAAAACTGCACAACTTCTGCTGCACACACAGACTGCTGCTACACATGCATTACATGCCGATTGCTGCGGTGTGCACGTGTGTGCAGCACATGTGCATAAACGCTGCACACATGCATGTGTGTGAACACTGCTGCTGTGTGCTTGTACATGCACAGCACACGCAGACTGCTTCTGCACACACACATGTGCACACACCTGGGCAGCCCCTTGCTTCGGAATTTACTGCCACGGTCTCTCTGTGCTTGCGTTTGTTCTGTGTTGTTTCTAGTGTTTGTGCGCTTGTCTTCCCTTCTTGGTCCTGATGACTAGCAGGTTTGCTCCTCAGTGTGGGCCACTGTGAGCCCTTCTAAGTAGAGACAGCCAAGAAGGTTGAGAGTCTGCCTGCACCCAGGATGGGCGGGGCCTCACCCAGCCTCTGTGCGGCCAGCCTCCCACTGGATTGTTCTGGGGAGGGAGGTCGAGCCAAGGAAGGAATGAGGGGACACTTGAAAACCTACTGCAGGTCGGCCCTCTGGGTGGCAGGCCAGGTGCGTCCTCTGGGGATTCAGGGTGATTTTTACTGTAGCGGTTACTTTAGATCCAGCACTGTGAGGTCCACCAGAGGGAGCCACTCCACAAGCTTGGCCAGGGGAGCCTCAGGAACTCACTGGACCTTTTCCCTTTAAGTTGTCCGCAGCAGTCAGGATGCTGAGCTCTGCTTGGGTGGTGGAGCTGCCTGGTGGTGTCACGAGGGCCATGAAGGCATGGCTGTGTGTCAGGGCCCACGGCCCTGGGGCCAGGCCTCCGTTTCCACACTCCCCAGCTGGCCTGGCCTGGATGGTGCTGGGCTCAGCCCCCAGGCGTGAGGCCCTCCAACCTCTTCCCAGGAACGGTGCACCCAACGTGTGTCGCAGGGAGGGGACTCCATGACGCCCAGGCACCCCCACCCCCTGTGGACCTGGGGTCGGGGCGCCCGCCCGAGTGCTGACACTGACTGGGGCAGGAGGGGCAGTGGCAGTGCTCTGTGATCATGAGGTTATTCACAAGACAGCCTCACGCAGCCTCTGAAGGCTGAGTCTCTGTCCAGGGTGGGTGGTCTCTACCCCTGTGGGGTGTGTGGTGGACCTGGAAGCTCTCCACTCCCCAGAGGCTGAATCAGAGGAACTGTTCTGCAAATGCAGATTCCTACACCCCCAGGGTGGATGTGTCTGTCTGCATGTGGCGTTCATGTGTCTACACCCCCAGGGTGGATGTGTCTGTCTGCATGTGGCGTTCTTGTGTCTACACCCCCAGGGTGGATGTGTCTATCTGCATGTGGCGTTCTTGTGTCTACACCCCCAGGGTGGATGTGTCTGTCTGCATGTGGCGTTCATGTGTCTACACCCCCAGGGTGGATGTGTCTGTCTGTCTGCATGTGGCATTTATGTGTCTGACAGATCCTGTGTGTACCAGGCTGCGTGCATATGCACGTGTGCGCCTGCATGCATACGTGTGGGAGATGTGTGCATGTGATGGGCTACTGATGGCCACTGGAGCTTGGCCACCCCTTTGAGCAGTGTCTCTGCAGAACCCTTCTCCAGATGGCCTGAGCTCCCTTCAGCCCGTGGCTTCCAGACCACCTGGTCCATCTTTGCAAACCTCCCCTCCAGGTGTTCAGGAGCGCAGCCCTGTGGCTGGGGTGCTGACAACACATGCAGAATCTCAGGGGACCATCCATTTCATTGTGGTCCATTAGGCTTCACCCCAAACTGCCCCCACCCCACCAGCAAGCCCGGTGTCTACTCAGGAGAAGGTGGGGCTCGAACACGGGCAGTGGGGTCCTGGGGCTGTGGACTCCAGACTCAGCTGTCTTCTCTCAGCTCCAGGATCTCTGAAGTGGGTTCTGGTCCCCCAGGCATCACAGAAGACTCAGGCAGAAGATCAGTGTGGCCAGGGAGGTCAGCAAGGCCCCTGGCTGGAGGTGGAGGCCGGGGGCAGCTGAGTATCCATACTGTGTCCTGCAGGAGCCATCCAGCTGGTCCAGGGGGATGGGCTCGTCGTCAGGGGCCTGTTGAGGACTGCTCACCTGGCGACACGCAAGCTGGTCAGCTGCTGGCCCAGCACAGGGGAGGGGTGGGGACACCAGTGGCCACTCATCCTCACCTCCTCCACGCGGAGGAAGACCCTCAGCAGGTTTTCCGACAGCACGCCCCTGACCTCTGTCTCTGTCCAGTTTCTCCTGAGCAGCTCAGCAATGAGGTCTGGGTACTTGGAGACGTCCTCCAGCCCCACAGGAAGCCTGTGCCAAGGTCAAGAGCACCAGGCTCTGCAGATAGCTGCTCCCAAGCCGGGGGTCAGGAGAGCCAGCTTCTAGAACGCTGCCCTGAGCACAGCTTTCTTCCTCCAACCCCATGCCCACCACCCCAGCCCTGTCATGGCCAGCCTTTACCTTTCCACACCATCAAAGTCTCCCCCAAGGCCCACAGATTCGGCACCTGCCACCTTCTTGATGTGGTCCAGGTGGTCTGTGGGAGTAACAGGTGTGGGTCCCCCGGGGCCCCCGGCCCCCCCCCACCGGGTCTCATGGCCACTCCCAACCTACTAGCCACTTGGGACAGGGTGGCTTCTTCTTTGCAGGACACAAAGTCGTTGTAGAAGTTCACCATTACCAGACTGTGGGTGCTCTTCTGCTCAGAGACAGGTGGAGCTGAGCAGGAGGGAGCCGTGGGGGCCAGGGCCCCCCTCTGCTCCCGAGCCCCCTCCACACTCACCCCTCTCCACGCCCAGGCCCCCCTCCGTGCCTGGGCCCCCCTCCACCCGCCCCCCTTCATGCCTGTCCCCCATGCCCGCCCCCCTCTGTGCGTCCCCCATGCCCGGCCCCTCACCACCAGCTGCAGCACATCATCCGGCACATTCCGGCGGCTATCACACAGGCTGTAGGCTGAGGAGTGGCTGAAGATGACTGGAGCCTTCGACAGCTGCAGGGCGGCCTTCATGGTGGCCACTGACACA